GGTTCTGGTTTACTTCATTCACTATAGTTGTGAGATACGACCATATTGCTCTGTGTAGCTAGAGTTCATTTGTTTTCATTCTGGGCTTCCACTTATGTAATGCCCAAATATCAGGCAGAACTTTGGCACCACCACACTATCCTGACTTTTGAGATGCTGGCAATGTTCTAGCTCTTGAGCTGAGTGGGGGTGAATACGTATTTATGATTAAATACTGAGCTATGTGTTTTCGCTTTATGCATTTTTCTCTATATACTTCACAATAAGGTTAAGAAATAAGAAATTTTCAGAGTTATGATATACTGGGGTAAACAGAAAAAGCTCCGCAAAGCTGAAGGTGACCTACCCTGAGGGTTTCAGCTGCCTGGCCTGTCCAAAATTGGAAGGGATCAATATCTTGGCATTACCTCTGCACCTTGGTCAGGAATATTTGATCTCCCCATCTCAGGGTTGTTGTTTTGTTTTGTTTTTCACTGCAGTAAAATACACAGAACATAAAATTTACCACTTTAACTATTTTTGAGTGTATTAGGTACATTCTCATTGCCACGCCACCTCACCACTATCCTTCTCCAGAACTTGCTCATCTTCCCAAACTAAAACTCCCTACCCAGTAAACAACAACTGCTCATTTTCACCTGCCCCCAGGCCCTGGCAACCACCATTCTACTCTCTGTCTTTATGAATTTGATGACTGTAGTTACCTTACATAAGCGAAATCACACAGGATCTGTTCTATTATGATTGGCTTATTTCAGTTAGCAAATGTCTTCAAGGTTCATCCATATCGTAGTATGGGTCAGAACTTCTGGTGTCCCAATAATAGTCATCCTAATGGGTGTGAGGGGACATCTCATTGGAGTTGCATTCCTCTAAGGATTAATGCTGCTGAGCATCCTTTCATGTGCTTACTGATCTTTTGTATATCTTCTTTGGAGAAATGTCTGTTCAAGTCTTTTGCCCACTTTTTAAATCCGCTTGTTCGATTTTTGGTTGTTGAGTTGTACTGCCTCAATTTTTTGGCTATGAAACAAAGACCCAGAGAGGTGAAGTGACTTAGCCAAGGTCACCCCTTGTAGGTTCTTAGCTACAACCCAATGCTTTTATTCCCAAGGCCGAGGCCCTTTTCTACTACACCAATCTGCCTGGCTCAGTACAAGATAACAGCCTCCAATCCTCACATTTGAGATCCATCCCTGATACCCCCAAATTTTTACTTCAACTTCAGATCTGATTATCCCTCTTACCTTGTCTTTTTAATAGCTCATTAACTTGGAGCCTAGCATTTTCAGCTCCAGTGGGTTTCTGTCCCTGTCCTGAGTCAGTGTTTATGACAGTCCGCCTCCCCCCCCCGTTCTGACTCCCCATGTCACTCTGGCCTCATCCATCACCTGAAGAGGCAGTCTGTGTAGTCTGCATACCTGCAGAGGAATTTATTAGGCCAGGGTCCAGATGCAGAACTGAGATAAATGTTTTACAGCAGGTGCAAGGCCACTCTCCTCTGCTGCATTGCACATTGGGGCCCCACAGGATTGCTGATCTGAACTTTCTCGTTTTTCTCAGCAACCAGGTGGCAGGTCAGGGGAGACATGAGGACCCCTAGAGAGCTGTGAATTATTAACACTTGCAAGCTGGCTGCAAATGATACTTTAGCAGTCATTCCCTCCCTCTTTCTTTTCCCAGCTGAGGGGGCAGAATACACAATACTTTTCCACTAAAAGGAAAACTGAGGTGCAGAACAAGAACAGGCCTGGGTTCCTGCCTGAACCAAAGTCTGGGTCCTCTCAGAGCAAGGATTTGGGTCTCCATCTGCCTCTTCCTGAGAAATACAGAAACAGAGGATCAGTAGTCCTAGTACCCCCTCAGAGGGACAAGCTTGGGAACAGGAGAATAGCAAGAAAGTGCCAGGCATCTCAAGGTCACAGCCTCAGCCTGACTCTACCCCTCACAGAGAGACTGGGGATCAGCTTATCCAAGGAAGAAGGGCCAGTGAGAGAGAATCAAGACCAGGAGAAGCCTAATGACCCCACATCTGTGGCAAATTAGAAAAGACACCCTTGCCTCAGTGGCTCAGTCAGTTAGGCATCTGACTCTTGATTTTCGCTCAGGTCCTGATCTCCAGGTTGCGAGTTGAAGCCCCACGTTGGGCTCCACACTGGGCAGGAGCCTCAGGGAGGAGCTCAGCACTGGATTCACATAGCTGCTCTCAGGAGGTGAGAAGCAGAGGAGGATGGGACATCTGTAGCTAGAGGGCCATGTGCTGTGTGACTTCAGGGTCCAGGAGGCAGTGGGACCGTGAGTTGCAGAGGGGAGCCTTTTTCCTCTTTGTTCACACAGCACAGTGTGGCTTTGTAGAAGTGCTGAGAGGGCGCGCCAGCCCAGAGGGCAGACAGAGCTGTGACTGTAGCCATTTCTGCCATCAGGCTGCGCAAGTCCCGGGGAAACTCGGTTACCTCTGTGCAGATCAGTGGGTGGAGCGTTCAGCCTGCTGAGCCAGCGGTCCTGCAGGCCTGGTCCCCTGTCAGCACAAGGCCTGGCCTGGCTGGTGTCCTCTATGACCAGGGAGAGACAAGACAGACTCTAGCGCACCACAGTGACCTGAGCAGATTCTCTCTGCCTTCTATTTACAAAGACAGAACTTGGCTCAGTTGTTAAGGGTCTGCCTTCGGCTCAGGTCATGGCCCCAGGGTCCTGGGATCGGGCCCCACACCGGGCTCCCCGTTCAGTGGGGAGTCTGCTTCTCCCTCTGCCTGCCACTCCCCCTGCTTGTGCTCTCTCTCTCTCTCTGACAGATAAACAAAATCCTTAAATAAAAATAAAAAGACAGAACTTCAGGTCAATATTCCTGGGGAACCATTTACTATAGACTGGAAGTTAGAATTGAAACTGAGAGACACATTCTTCCCAAGGCTTGTTCTGTCATCTTGATACTCAAACCCCTGAAGCTGCCACCCGACCTCCCTAGTAAAAAGCCCTGACTCCTTCCTCACATATTACCAAAGACCCTGGGCAAGAGGCCAGTGGGGACAGTGGCTGGGGATGGGGACTGAAATGCCCACACAGCTTTGCTTTAAGTGCCCTCTGGCCTGGAGGCTTGGTTTCCTTCCAGAGAACTGTTGGCTGCAGCTGAGGGGTCAGTTCACCTTCTCCAGGGGAGATGCTGGGTCTCCCACCAAGCCCCTGGAGCCAGGAGGGGCTGAGGCCAAGGCAGAGAAGGGTATAGATCCTTCAGCCTCTGACGTCCTTCCTCATAGCCACCTGGGCTCCTAACCGTCACACCAGTCATGAAACAGGTGTAAGCCCCAAGTCCAATCAAGGATCAGAGGTGATCTCCCCAACACCCCCACAAACTCACACACAGTAAAAGCCTTGTGTGGATGCAACCAGGCAAGCTTCGGGGGTAATGTGACAGAATGACAGAATTTTCCCTCTGCATGCAGATGTTGGCCTCTGGCATCCTCGTTGCCTAAAAGCCCGATATGGTCAAGTGAAATGTGGAAATAATTCATGAAAGCTAACACGATCTTTGATTGCAGTGACTAGGCAAGGCTCTGACTATGCTAGGCAAGTGGCCGGTCTGAGCCCCACACGTACTCAACAAGGGCATTTGACCAACTGGACTATGTTCAGAGAGGGTGACAAGACTGAAGGACATACTGACGCTGCACCATAAGGAATAGTTGAAGGAGCCGGGGACACTGAGCCCCGAAAGGAGAAATGTTAGCTGGTATGATGAACTTTCTTCAGAGACATGATGGACTTCCTTGTAGAAAAGGAAACTCGGTAATGACAATAACTAACATTCATTGAGTACTTACTATGTGCCAAGTACCACACTAACTGTTTTCCATACATTTTCTCATTGAAACTAGCCATCAGTCGTATGACAAAAGTGCTGTTATCATGCCCATTCCACAGAGGAGGAAATTAAGAAAAGTCGAGTGACTTGCCCAAGGCCATCTCATAAACGGTGGAGTCAGAAGATGAACCTCGCAGTCTGACTCCTGTGCCTGGGACTGAAGCACCATCCAGACTCATGTTCTGTGTGGGGCCCTCAGCAGAATGGGGAGCAATGGCTGGAAGTTAACGGGAAGCAGATCTGAAGGCAACGAGGAAGAATTTTTAAGCCGGAGGTGTTCAGACAGAATACTGGATGGGTACTCTGGGTGGTAATGAGCCACACACCACAAGAGAGATGAAAGCAGAGTCTGCAAGAGGTACGGCATAGAGCAGTTTGCAAGGAGCAACTTGGCGACATCAGCACTAAGGAGCTTGTGAGGGACACAAACACGTCCTTGGACCCCCTGCAAACCTACTGAATCAGACACTCCGGGGCAGGGCCTAGCCATCTGCATTTTAACACTGGTCTGGTGACTTTAATACACACTCAAGTTTGAGAACAACTGGCATAGAAATTTCTGCACCCTGCCAGCAACTGGACTAGACCTCGCAATTCTACAGAAGTAAGATATGACTTAACATCCAACCAGATCTTCTTTTAATGTTGAGCACTTACTAGTAATTCCCAGAACACAATGTATCAGTTGCTACTTTGTGTAATTGGCCTCGGATACCTTAGAGATCCAAAGGCTGACAGGATAAATATTTCGGAGGCTGTGGGCCAGGGGCTGCCCCAGAAGCCCCCCAACAGGAGGCAGCCTACACTCCAGTCACTTCAGTTGCTTCACTGGTTTCCAAACAAGCCCGTCAAGTTATTCCTACACCTTGTTTGTTCCTATTGTTCCTACATCTGAAAAATGCTTACCCCTGCCTTTTGAAATCCTACCTTCGGGCGCCTGGGTGGCTCAGTTGGTTAAGCGACTGCCTTCGGCTCGGGTCATGATCCTGGAGTCCCGGGATCGACTCCCGCATCGGGCTCCCTGCTCGGCGAGGAGCCTCCTTCTCCCTCTGAACCTCTCCCCTCTCATGTACTCTCTCTCTCTCATTCTCGCTCTCTCAAATAAATAAATCTTAAAAAAAAAAATAGAAAGAAATCCTACCTTCTTTCAAAGTTCAATTCAAACATCACTTTGTCCACTAAAGTGCCCAACAGCTGTCTGTCATGGGGGCAGGCTCCATTTCCTCTCCCCCTCCTTCTCTTCTTCTGGGCTTTCTCTCACTTCTGTGGTGCTTACAGCACTGGGCACATTCTGCCTCAGCCTGCACCTTGGCCCTGCCCACAAAGCGTGCTCTCCTTGAGAACAGGCCAGCTTAGTGCGCAGCCATGTCAACCCCACAGGGCCTAAGACACAATAACGTTCAGTGAGGAGGAAGCAGAGGCAGCATTTTAAGGCAATCACGTACGCAGGTGTTTGCACGGTGTGCAGATGCACCCTGACTGTTGAGAAGAAAGTCCTCTGCCATTCAGTTTCAAGCCTGAGGTCTTTGCAGAATTTTGAGGGTTTTGCAACAACCAGTGTGAACACACGTGTGTCTGCTGGTGCTCAAGGGGCCCCAACCTTGCAGATCCACAGTTTTGTTATCTTCGACTCCTCTTCCTTGTTGCATAGGCTCCGGCTGATGCGAAAGACTGAGGGGTGTCATGGCCAACCTCCTGGGTGTCCCACGGAGACAAGTGTGAACAAATCTCCATTTCAAGGAACGGAGAAGTCATAAATTTGACCACTGTTGTAGGGACTGGGGTAGCAAATACCAGGCCCCGTTCAGCAGCTCATGTCTGTGGGGCCAGGCGTCCTCTGGCTGTTGTGGACTGGTCCTGTGCCCAGGATGATGGTGAGAGACCTGTAGATGGGAGGAGAGACTCCCCTCCCCCACCCCCAGCAAACGCCCGTCGCTGGTTTCCATCCCTCAGGAATCCACACATTCTGTTTTGAAAGCTGAGCGGTTTAACAGAATAAGGAGATGGAACTGATGCCTGGCTCACCTGATAATGCCACAATGGCTTTGGTGGGGCCCTTGACAGGACCTCAAACCCCAGAGCACTTTTCTGATCTAAGGACCACAGAGAACTACAAACCAGGAAATCCCTGTCCACACACAGGTGAGTGACTCTAGATTTGTCATGAAAAATTTCCCCAACCCACCTTCTTCTGACACCCCTTGGGTTCCTGGGTAGCCTGGCATTGGTGGGTATTTGTTTCAGAACCATGGGGCTTCCCATTGTGCTGGGTCCCCTCTGGTATGTGCCTGGCCCAGCCTTGCAGAAGTTAGAACCCAAAGCTTCTCACTCTCAGACCGATGCCCTTTCCACCAAAGTGCACGACACTAGAATTCAGGGGTGATCCCTGCAATCTCCCCAGCCCACCAGTGACCAAGGAGGAACAGAACAGAACAGAATGGAAATGGGTTGAGGGGGTCAGAGGTGGGGAAACAAGGTCAGCCATCCACCGGCTCATCCCTCCGTACGGGACCGTTTGGGCTGGCCCCCTACCGTCTCCCATGCCCCCCCCCCAGTCCCCCTCACAGTCCCACCCTCCTCCCCCTTCAGCCTGGAGCTGCTCTCTACTCTGTTCTGTCCTTTCCCTCAGGAAAAGACTTGATACCCTTCTTTATACTTAAGAGCACACGCTCTATCATCAGTCTTATCCTCATTATGAATTACCAAGTGAAAAATCTTTGTCCCCCAAGGTGAAGAAAACAATTTCAAAGAGCGCTTTTTCTCAGCCCCCTCAGCAGCTAGAGTCTGTCTCTAACACACAAAAAAGGACGAGGAAAAGGAGAAAGCTGCAGAGAATGAGGTGGAGAAGAAAAAAGTTCACGATGGGGGTGGAGGAGAGAGAGAGGCAGGAAGACCCCTGATTGCAACAAAAACCCATGCTGTGGTTTTCAAAGACCATATATACCAGTAATGAAGGTGTGAGCAATGACGGAAGTGGGAGACGACCAAAGAACAAGTCAGGGGCTGAGAGCTCATTCAAAGTGCTTTCACCAGAGCCCCCAGGCTGAGAGCAAGAAAGAAGAACTTCTGTCCCAAGGTAATGAGACCCACTGGGGATCTGGGGTTCGGGAACTGGGATGGGACAGTTGACAGAACCACTCAGGTAAGGACAGGCTTCCAGTGAGGTCCCTGAGAACCCCTGATTTTTGCAATGCCCTTTACCCTCGGGACCCTAGAAAGAGAAGTGTTACTGTACGAGCCGGGCCACCATGCTCGCTCTTCCCCAGTAGGCTTCCAGGGATACAAGCCCCATTCTGACACTTACCTCAACTGGGAAAGAACTGTACTCTGTGTTCATGGGAGGGAAATCCAGGCGAGCGCCTTGAAGTAACATACCTAACCGAGCATAAATCTCTTATGCTGTTCTAAATCCTCCAGGCCACTTTCTTTTGTTCAGTGTTCGTGGGGGATGAATCACAAAGGGTCATTCTTATCAGTAAAAAGGAGATAGTCACCAGAGGAAAGTTACCAAGTCTTGGATCCACTCTCCTCTGGATCCCTCAAAGCCTGGCCTAGGACAAGCCACTGGGCTCCATGGAGCTTCAGGCTGGTCCTATGAGGCATCCCTGAGGGAAGTTTACATCCCAGATCTATGCTCTGGGGGTGATGCCAACAAGAGAGGCTTCGGGCCAACTGGCATATTTTGGCAGAGTAAACTTGGGAATTCCAGAGTGAAAAGAATGGTTCAGAAATAGTTTTCCATGGGATGCCTGGGTGGTACAGTCAGTTGGGCATCCAACTCTTGGTTGTGATCTTGGGGTCATGGGATCAGCCTGTGTAGGCTCCACGCTCATCATAGAGTCTGCTTAAGACTCTCTCTCCCTCTCCCCCTGCCCCACCCCTCCACCCTCTCTCTCCCCCTGCCTCTCTAAAATGAATGGGTAAATCTTAAAAAAAAAAAAAAAGTAGTTTTCCTTGGGGCGCCTGGGTGGCTCAGTCCGTTAAGCAACCAACTCTTGATCTCAGCTCAAGTCTTGATCTCAGGGTCATGAATCCAGGCCCCGCATTAAAAAAAAAGAAGAAGAAAGTTTTCCTCTAATTTCCGGAGTTATGCACTTTAGTGGAAGACCTTTCATCTAAAAATCAGGAGATCTGGTTGCCTCAGTTTCCCTAGTTGCAAAACAAGGAGCCTATTCTGCAGGAGTTCTGCACTGGGGGTCCATTCATGGGATTCGTGAATCTGGGGGAAACATATCTTTACTTCCACCAGTTTCTAGCTGAAAGTTAGCAAGCATTTGCTTCAGTTATGAAGGTATGCAACAAACCACAATAGAATTTGCCATCAATAGAAATCAAAATATTTTCAAATCTCATTACAGTTGTTACAGGTTTCTCAAAATGTCACATACACTCATCACTACTATGAAGTTACAATAATTACTTTTTTTTTTTTTAAGATTTTTACTGATGCTAGATCTAAGGAAGCACTTATACTACTCTATCACATGTTCTAATGTTTAGACAACTGTTCTGATACAATGTTTCCTTTGTTATCCTTTATATTTTATTTTATTAATTTGTAAGTATTATTCTGAGAAGGGGATCCACAGGCTTCACCAGACAACCAAAGCTGCCTCTGGTGCACTAATGCTAAGGTTGAGAAGCCAGGCTCTATGTGTCAAGGGGGTAAGAGCCGCAAGGTTGAGAAAGCAGGCAAGTGCTCCAAGGGCCTCCGGCGGCTAACTTCAATTTGCTTACTAATCTGTTCCTACTTTAAGGAAGTTGAGGTTGTGGTGGTTGATGAAATCCCATCTCTGGGTCTGGGGCATCTTTTTCAACTTGGTGGGAGATCTGCAAATGGGTATCTGTAAACAAATATTTGTGAAGCTGATTGTTAGCCTTCCAGCTCCTCTGAGAGGTTAGATCTGGGCTTTAGTAGCAAAGAGAAGAGTGTTTTCCTTACAGTCTTGTACCCACCAGCAGTGGGTCCACACTCCGCAGAAAAGGTCGGGCACAGATCCATGTGTCATTTAATTATCGCAACATTCATGGGAGGGAACTTTAAACACAAGAGGAAGGTTGGTAACGTGCCCCAGATGGCACGAAGCTTGGATCTGAGTCTGAGACTCCAGGTGCCCCCCGCTTTATAAGGTTGGGGAGATGGCGGGTGTTTACCTCCAAAGGCACATCCTCAGAGTCCATGGGTTCCTAGGCACCCATCATAGTTCAGGAGCCCTGGGGAAGGCTGAAAAGTGACGATGCCAACCTAAGCTGGACCTTCATCCTTGCCGACTCCAGGGCTCGCCACGTTTTATGAGGAAGAGGAGACCTGTCTCTAGCTCGTGGACCCAGAAAGTCCTCCCACTTCCCTCCCCAACACCTCTTCCCGCTACGGAGGGCCAGTTGCGCCTCTAATACAGACTGCGTCCTCGGGACCCACCAGACGGGATCTTGCACCGCCCACACCTCCAGTACTAGTTCAGGTTTTCCCCAGCTACCCTGCACGCCCTACCCCGCGCCCCGGCGGCTCACGGGCCATCTCCGGCTTCAACTAGAAGGCAGCGCCCTCTGGTGGTCACAATGCAGAAGCGGCGGTGCCGGCTCCACCAAGCCCTGCCTGCATCACACCGGGGTGTTCCTCCTCCAGGCACCAAGGTCACCTACTCCAAGAGCATCCGTTCCCCAGGGCCGCCACCTGCCCCAGGCCTCCTGAACGGCCCACGATAAACTTACACGCTTTGCTTCAGCTCGGCCCTAGGCACCACGAAGCCCGGCCACTTGCATCAGCGCCTGTGAGCCTGCCCGCCACTCTGCAGCTCTTTGCTTGGAAGCAATTCCTACCCCGCCCCCTCCCATCCCGCTGCACCAGTCCCTCAGGGAACACACCTAGAGAAGGGACATGACCTTCTCAATATCCTACAGCTAGCTAATGCACAGCCGGGGCTGGAAGACAAATCTCCCCAGCCCATTCCCCACCTTACCTCACCACAGTCAGCAAACATCTGTCAAGGCCCAACTGCACTCCCATCCTGCAGCCTTTCCAGACCTCTCATTCAGAATTTCTTCTTTCCTATTCCTTGGTATACTTTGTGACCTTATTACTGTTAGCACAGCCCTCCTTGGACTGCAGCTGTTCCTGAATGGCTGGAGAGCTGTGAGAAGAGGCACAAAGGACATGACAGACCTGCATAACTTGGGAGTTAACAATGCTAGCTCCTTCACTTAGAAGCTGTGATTTTAAGCTATTCACACACCTCTCTAAGCTTCCATACGCTTAATAAAAGTGACAATTTTTTTCTAAATAACTAGAATAGCTGTGCTTTATAAGAACTAAACACAATTGTGGACGTGGATGTGTTTGGGACGTAAATTGCCGCAAATATGAGGAAGCATAAAAATAATCATGGCTAACATTTATTTACTGAGCCCTTACTCTATGCCAGCCACTATACTGGCATTGAACTGTGTAGTAGTTTACATGGGTTGCCTCTTTTAACCCAAAGAACAATCCTGGGAAGAGAATATTATCACCATTTTACAGCTGAGTAAGCTGCTTTTCAGAGAGGTTCAGAAACTTGCCCAACATTATGCAGCTAGTTAGTGCCAAAGTCAGATTACAGACCAGTCCTTCTGACTAGAGGCTGCATAGAATCACTGAGAGAGTCGGCCTCTGTTTTAGTCATCTCTCTGTGCTCTCTGGTGCCCGACACATCATAGTTGTTCAGTGTTTGTCAAATATATCCATTTATTAAGGGCTGAGCATAGTTCCTGTCCCAGGAGCCTAAGAAACTTGCCTGAGACACAACTAGTAAGTTTTTTTAAAGATTTTATTTATTTTTTTTGAGAGAGAGAGAATGAGAGATAGAGAGACGAGAGGGAAGAGGGTCAGAGGGAGAAGCAGACTCCCCGCTGAGCAGGGAGCCCGATGTGGGACTCGATCCTGGGACTCCAGGATCATGACCTGAGCCGAAGGCAGTCGCTTAACCAACTGAGCCACCCAGGCGCCCAACAACTAGTAAGTTTTGAGATACAAGCAGTCTGGCTCCAGAGTCTGTGCTTTTAAGCACAAACCTATGCTAAGTGAATAATTGCAATTCTTCTTTATCTTCCTTTTTGAGTTTACCTTTTTTAGTTAAATTCAATTAATTAGCATATAGTGTATTATTAGTTTCAGAAGTAGAGGTCAGTGATTCATCAGTCTAATATAATACCCAGGGCTCATTACATCATGTGCCCTCCTTAATGCCCATCACCCTGTTACCCCATCCCCCCACTCACCTCCCTCCAGCAACCCTGTTTCCTATGATTAAGAGTCTCTTATGGTTTGTCTTCTCTGATTTCGTCTTGTTTTATTTTTCCTTCCCTTTCCTACGATCCTCTGTTTTGTTTCTTGAATTCCACATGAGTGAGATCATATGATAATTCTTTCTCTGATTGACTTATTTTGCTTGACATAATGCCCTCCATTTCTATCCATGTTGTTGCAAATGGCAAGATTTCTTTATCTTCCTTTTCAAATCAGATAATACTTTGTAGCTAGACACAAAAGCATGTCACTGAAAGTTCAATGTTTTGTTTCAAGACTCAGCAGGACTTTCTGGTGGAGACATGGAACAGCATGAAAGTAGGACAACACAGGGCACCTGGGTGGCTCAGTCGTTAAGCGTCTGCCTTCGGCTCAGGTCATGATCCCGGGGTCCTGGGATCGAGCCCCGCATCGGGCTCCCTCCTCCACAGGAAGCCTGCTTCTCCCTCTCCCACTCCCCCTGCTTGTGTTCCCTCTCTCGCTGTGTTTCTCTCTGTTGAATAAATAAATAAAATCTTAAAAAAAAAAAAAAAAAGAAAGTAGGACAACACATAGGAGAGGGAACACGAGGTCAAGGCTAGGGCAGCAGCACTGGGGGCCAGACCCACTGGGAGTTTTCCTTAGGATTGTGACAAATTTAGGGGCACCTGGGTGGCTCGGTTGGTTAAGCGTCTGCCTTTGGCTCAGGTCATGATCCCAGGGTCCTGGGATCAAGCCCCGCATCGGGCTCCCTGCTCATCAGGAAGCCTCCTTCTCTCTCTGCCCCTCCCTCCTGCTCATTCTCTCTCTCTCTCTCTCTCTCAAAAATAAAAATACTTTAAAAAAAAGTAATACATTCATAAGATAAGATTTATCAAGCGAAAGAGTATGCAATGAGAAAAAAAAAAAGCCTCCTTACATTCATCTGCCTCTCAACCCACAGGAACTGCCCTTCCCCCCAAAAGTTCACCACTTTTAAATATTTTCCACTGAACTCATGGATACAAAGAACAGAATGGTGGTTGCCAGAGGAGAGGAGCCTGAGGGGTGGGGGAAATGAGTGAAGAGGGTCTGGAGGCAGACTTCCAGCTGTGAAATGAACCGGTCATGGGGATGTGGGTGCAGCATGGTGACTACAGTGAATGATACTGTAGTGCACATTTGAAGGTTGCCGGCAGAGTGAATCTTGAAAGTTCTCATCAAAAGAAAAAAATTGGGGGGTAAATTTTCATGGTGATGAAGGTGACTACACCTCCTGTGGGGATCATTTCATAGTGTATACAAGTGTCAAATCATGACTTGTATACCTGAAACTCATATCATGTATGTCAATTATACCTCAATAAAAAGATCAGAAATAATCAAAATCCTCACTGGTAGGAATCTATGAGAATAAATTCACATAATTATGATTACTGTGCAGCAATATTTAAAGAGGGAAAGCTGTTTCTGTATTGATATGGAATGGTCTCCACAGGACACACTGGTAAGTGAAAAAAGCAAAATGTAGAACAGAGTGTACTGTATACTATCCTTCATTGTTGTTGTTGATGTTTTTTATAAAAGGAAAAATATGGAACCTCTTAAATATTCATAGAATATATCTCTAGAAGCATCCACAATAAGGCAACATTGGTTGACTCAGGGAAGGGGCAATAGATCACTGGGGGTGGGAGTAGGAAGGAAACTTTTAACTGTACACCTCTGCCCTTTGAACTCTGTGAATGTAATTACCTATCCAAAAAGTTATAAACTACAAAAGTGTTTAAATATATTTTTAGAACACATATAGAGAGAGAGGATTTTAAAAAAATAAAAATATTTATTTTATATGCATAGCCCTGCAATTTGCCTTTTTTGACATAATGGTATATTATTGATCCCCCTTCAGGCTCATATTTAGAAAACTCATTCTTTTTAATAACATATAATATTCTACTGTATGAATGAGTCAAAATTTATTCAACCATTTCCAAATGATGAAAATTCAGGTGTTATCTTGGTTTTGCTTTGGGTTCAGTTTGGGTTTTTTGACATGAGAACAATTTTTCTTAGCTAAGATTAGAAGATATAAACATAAAAAGGTAAAACAATAAAATATTGGGGGAAAAAGTGTAACTCTAGCCTGAGGGAAACTTTCTTAAACTGATGATGGTGTGGTTTGGTTTATGGTGAACACCAACTTAGATGATCTTTCACTGACACCATCTCTCCCAGGATCCCGTTTAAGTCTCAGTTGCTCTAAGCTGGTCTCGGGGAAACAGTCTGAAGACCTGTCCTTGCACAAAAACACTATAACCCCCTCAGCCTCTTCTTTCTTACACTGCAAAGTACAGATCAAGCTTAGTCGTTTTCCTTCCTGGTGAAATAAGCTTTGGATGTGCATGCACCCTGGAATGGGAAGGGGGAAGAATTAGCCATGGGAAGTTTGCTCACACAGACTAAGTTCACTACAGAGTACTGCAGATGACTTAAAACATAGATGCACTGTATTTAACTACAATACAGATGTGATTTTTCCTGATGGAAAGAAACAAACAATGAATTGGGAGAAAATATTTGTTAAAAAAAGAAAAAAGGCCAGGGTAATATCTCTAATATAGAGAAAAACTGATTTTTTAGAAAGTTGATTTGGAAAAAAAATGCAAAGAATATGAACAAGCAATTCATAGAAGAGGAAATACTAATGACCAATAAATGTATGAAGAGATCCTCACCTCCACTAGTCATGGAAATGCAAAATAAAACAACAGTGGGATCTAATTTTTCATTCATCAAATTGGCAAAAATGTAAAAGACAATATTCAGTGCTGACAAGCACATTCTTGCTGAATGTCCAAATCTCAACCATATTTCTGGAAAGCAATCTGATAATACATAGTAGAAAAAAATGTGTTCATATTCTTTGACCCAGTAATACAACTTAATTTAGAAAAAAATATTCTGAAAATATAGCATTTAGTGTCTATGTCTCTTCCCTCTTTTCTCCTCTCTTCTCTCCAGTACACCTCACTTAACTGTCTCACTTCCCAGCCAGCTGGACTCTCATGCCCAAGCCTTCTTCCACCTGACTCTAGCCAACTTAAGCTAGTGCCTGGAACATGGAGATGGTCTTGGAGCCCTGGGAGGCCTTGTCTAGGAGTTCTCATGTGCTTTCAGGAAAGTGAGGCCAAGGACATAACTGGAGCCAACATTTGCGTCAAGTTCCTGCGGCTGCTGACAACGTGCAGGAGAGTGATGGCACCTGGCAGAGGTTGCTTGGCCCTGGCCACTCTGCTGGCAATTGTGGACATCCAGCTTGGCGGTGAGGACAGCCCCTCCCCAGATCCCCAGAGCAGAGATGGCCATCAGGGAAAATCCTGGACTCATGAGGAGGGATGGATCCCAAGATTTTTTTTCTGGTGGGGAAGAAAAGGACCCACTCCCTCTTGACACTAATGAAAGGGTGAAAAACATAGTTTTTCTTTTTCTGTTAAAACTATTACCCTCCCCATCAGACATTCTGCCTCTGCTATGTGTTGCCAAGAACCTGGTAATCTGGCCCTCAACCTAAGATTCTTTCAGGATCTTATACATTCCAAATTTATGAAATCCAGGTTTGAGATTCTGATACTACATGTGTCAACTTGGGGTGCCTGGTTGGTTCAGTCAGTTAAGCATCCAACTCTTGATTTCGGCTCAGGTCATGATCTCAGGGTCATGAGATCAAGCCCTACATTGGGCTCCATGCTGGACGTGGAGCCTGCTCTCTCCAACCCCCCATCCCTCTGCCCCTCCCCTCCCCACTCTCTCAAAAAAAAAAAAATATATATATATATGACATATGTCAACTTTAACAACCCATTTAACCACTGTGCACCTCAGTTTATAAAATGGGAACAACAGTACATGGTTCTAGGGCTATACCAAGGATTAGATGTATATAAATGCACTTTAATAAAGGTCCTATACAAGTTCTATTTGGAGTAGAAATAAAATATAAACCATTTCTGAATTAACGAATAACTGGGATTACAGGTCTCCCTCAGATATGGGTATAGCCCATAGAATACTCTTCTAAGAGGTGGTATTTAATGTCTATTGGGCAGCCCCCACCTCTGCCTCAACATTTCTATGTGAGTGAACTTAAGTCTGTGTGAGCAAACTTCCCATGGCTAATTCTTCCCCCTTCCCGTTCCAGGGTGCATGCACATCCAAAGCTCATTTCACCAGGAAGGAAAACGACTAAGCTTGATCTGTACTTTGAAGTATAAGAAAGAAGAGGCTGAGGGGGTTATAGTGTTTTTGTGCAAGGACAGGTCTTCGGACTGTTTCCCCGAGACCAGCTTAGAGCAACTGAGACTTAAACGGGATCCTGGGAGAGATGGTGTCAGTGAAAGATCATCTAAGTTGGTGTTCACCATAAACCAAACCACACCATCGGACAGCGGGAGGTACCAGTGTTGTGCCACAAGCCAGAAGCCAGAAATCCGCCTTCAGGGCCACTTTTTCTCTGTTTTAGTCACAGGTAAGCTCTGATACCCCACATGCCAGCAGATGAGATAATAAGCAGGGTCGACAGCTAGAGACAGAAATAGTTACTTCAGGTCCTGGATAGGCAGTCTTCCTGGGGGAAGAGTCCTTCCCATTACTCAGTCATTTCCCACCAGTCCCGCTGCCGTGGCAAATGCTCACAGCATGAATACAAAAGTAATCTCATTTCGTCTTTTATTTTAAAAACCTTACTGAGGTAAACCATTTAATTTTTATTGACACTGAGACTGGGTTACATGGAGGTAAAGCAATTTTTCAATTTGTCTCACTGACCAGTGCCAGTAAAAGCAGATCAAAGTCTGAAATTTAGGCTTTCTGATTCTAATTCAGAGAGCTCTCAGAAATGTGGTTTTATTTCTAAATATAGACACAGCCTTCACGCTGTGACAGAGATGGATTTGAGATAAAACAGATGGTTGTCTTAATGAACATTTAGTTGTAAGAAACAGAAACCTACTCAAGCTGCCATAGGTTAAAAGGAACAAATAATAAAGCAAGAATAAAAAAGCCCTCATGAGATCTGGTTTCTGGAATCAGAAACCAGAAAGCCAACAGAACCTAAACAATTACAGTCTCAATCTCTCTGGGGCAGTAAGGTCTCTCATTCCTGCATATCTCCTTTATTTTGTGCCTACTCCCCTACTCTGTTACTACTTAGACAAAACCTAAATACGGTCAACTCCAGACTCAGCTTTATATATGACTTCCTCATAGGCCCAGCCGAGAGTGACTCTTGTGTTTCTATATTCCCAAAGGAACAAGCCTTCAAAACTGAGAATTATGTTCCGATTGGAATTCTATATCCATCCAAACTACCAATCGAATGTGAGGAAAGAATACAGACAGACATGTAATGACTCCAAAAAAAAAAAAAAAAAGATTGCCTTCCATGTGATCTTAAAAAGCCACCAGAGGTGTGCTTCAGAAAAACAGGAAGTGAATAGGCAGAGTGGATAAAATGGGATCCAGGAAAGTAAGGACTCTAATAGGGGAAAGGAAATAAGGAAATTCTAGAATGAAAAATGGCCAAAACAGGCAATTGGTCCAAAAGGAACAAGGGAAAGAGGGCTCTGAAAGATCTTGAGGAGGGGAAAACAGAACTGATAGGTCATCTTTCTGAAGGCCTGTGACAGACTGGATGAAGGAGTAAAGATATGGATATGGAAAATTCTGCCTGATTAAAAAAAAAAAAAGTGATCATCATCTCCAGGGAAAACACCGAATTTTACAAAAGGAAACCTAATCGTGGCACACAACTTGGCTCTGTAATACGTAACATTTACAGAATCCAAATTACATAAACATTAATTTAACTACAATGTGTAATATAATGATTTGTGAAAGATGCAGAGAAGGAAAGTGCGTAGAGGTTTAAGAGAAACATATCTTCATCTTAACAGAAAATCAATAGATAATGCCTAAATTTTATCATCAAGAAGTGGTAATATAAGCATACTATTTAGGAATACTATTTAGGGATACATCTGACAGTGGTTGTCCCGGGGAAATAAGCCAGGAGAAAAAAAGGACACTGCTATTATTCTTTATGAACTTTCAAATACTATATTTTAACTTTAAGAAAACTAGAAATTACACCCCCTCCCAAATAAAAACCTAGCCCAGAGCTTTTTAACAAATATTTTAATCATTTCCTATGGCTAGCAGTTAATCCACGTTTTCTACGTCAGTCTAGATTGATTTGTATCTTCCTCCTTGCTTCCTGGTGTCTTCCCCTCTGACCTCGCTGCAGCATCTAGCATTTCCATTCTCTCCCTTAACAAACTCCCATCTCTACTGGCTTCTGTGACTCTCTACGTCCCAGGTTTTCCCGCCTTTCTGGCTGTTCTTTCTCTCCTTCTCTGTCTCCATTTCCCCCTCTCACCACTCAAACATGAGAATTCATTCCCCAAGACTCACTCCTCACCTCTCTGATCTTTTCCCTATTGTTTCTCCCAAGTTCTCATTTACGCTCATGATTTTACCTGCACCTTCTTGCGAACTGACCCACAAATCAATTTGCCCAGCTCTAACCTCTTCCTAAGTCTCAATTTAACATTTTCACTGACAACTGGGCTCCTAGCTTCTGACTGCCCTGCCATCTCCTCACTCAAACCTGAGACCCTAGTTCTGCCCATGATTTAGTCAAAATCTTGGTGATTTTTTTCTCTTCTCCATACATTTACTAAGTACAACTAGTTCTTCCCCACTTTTTATTCCTTTCTTTCCAAAGGGGTTTTCCAAGTTTTCATCATCTCACACTTAAAATATCCCCAAGAGTCTCCTGGCAAGCCCCTTGAGATCCGACCACGTCTTATTCATTGTTGTATCTCCTCCCACACCTACCTCATGGCCTGGCACCGAGCTGTTACCTAATAAATGATCCATCAACTCTAAATACTATCTCTGTCTCCAAACCAAACAGCCACCTGACCTATTTCTAAAATGCTAATTTGTACATGCCACACCACCAGTTTTAACGGCTTTTCACTGTCCAGGGGACAAAGTCTAAATTACTTTTGCCTTGCACCAGAGGCTCTGTAAAATTTCATTCTATTCATGTGAATACTCTGTTCCAGGTGATCTCACTAGGGGAAACTCTTCTGTCATTCCTCTCACACTTCTCATATTGATTGTGCATCCCACAGACACAGCGCTAAGCTTGGAGAATAGAATGGGGGGAGCAAGAAAGCCCTTGCTCCTTGTAAACTCATCTATATATAGTCTATAATCTAATCACATTCTTTTAATGTGCCCTAAGCACTTCTACTTGTGATGGCGCTCCGTAAGATAAAATGCCTTTCTCATCCTCAGTATATTTAAGTATTAGAGTCAGCACATATGGATACTCACCAAAGGCAGAGATGATAAAAGTTCCTTTTGGAAGGTGAAACTAACAAAGGCGGACAAGTCACATATCGTATCAGTAAACAATGTCTACCATTCACTACTACATTTACTGCCATGTGTGCCAGGCATTGTGCTGAATGATGTATCGATTATTTCATTTAATCTTCATGGCCTTTTTGAGGTTGCAGCTGTTGTCATGTGAAAAGTCCGTCTCAAAGGTAATTTGGGGTAATTTTATTCAGCTGGTAAATGGTGAAAAAAAATCCAGATCTATTCCAAAGTCCAGATTTTAACTTATGCTAAACTGCTTGACACACTCTGGAAGATGGTTTTTAAGTGAGGGGGCACCCAAGTCCAAGGTGACTAAGCTGTTCCAGCTGCCTCTCTAACAAGACTTTAAAGTTCCTTCAAGGTAGGCCTGTTTGCATCCCCAGTGTGACACACAGTAGATTCTCTATTTTTCGCTGTTTAAGTACCTCATCATCACTACTCATAAATGTTAAAAAATACTTATTTGGGCAATAAATTGTGCTGGGCACTGTCCCTGGAGATCAAAGAAGATGTTCTGAGATGACGCCAAAGGAGGTATTAGTGGTTTCTGAAACCCTCCCCTGATAATTAATTCTCTTTTGAACCAGAGGCAGGGAACCACACAGTGAAAGGATTGAAACAAACAGGGCACCCCGCGTTCAGTCACAGTAAAGGCGCTCTCGGTTCAGACTTCCTGCGAGAAAAAGCCTGGGTGATGCTGGTCACCGGCCTGGTGGCCCTTCAAGGTATGTTCAGAAGAGGCTTAAGCACCCCAGGCAGTGAGGGTGCTACACCTTTGACATTTTGATTATCCTCCAAGAGGAGATGTAGAAAGGAAGCCTAGAGTGGGAGAGTGAAGTGCTGCTCAGGCCCCGGCTGTCCACAGGAAAACACCAAACCAACATGAGGGCAAAACTGGTCCAAAAGGACTCAAGACTTTATAATAACCAGAGGAAGATGGATGAAACACCTTCTCCATTGGACAGGAGGTCAGACCTGTTAGGAAAGCGAGCTTGTGGAAGAGGCAAATAAATAAATACAGTTGCCTCTACTCACTGGGCCAACAGAAGACTACAAGTAAAGGCAACAGATATTTGCCTATTATGTGAAGATGAACAAGGCAAGAGTCAGACTGGGTCTGGAGGTGGGCTTTAAAAATGCAGATCTTTGGCAAAGGCTGATGGGCAGATTGAGTACAGACACTTGTAGGTGAGTTCTCTGAGCATCACATCAGTATAGATACCAGGTTTCCCTATTAGATAACAGAGATTGGAACTCACAATGATTTGCCATTACATTTTTGCATAATCAGTAACTGACGCAGCTCTTTGCCTGTCCTTGACATTCTTTTTTTTTTTTAATATTTTATTTATTTGAGAGGGAGAGAACACAGAAGGAGAGGGAGAGGGAGAAGCAGACTCCTCGATGAGGGGAGAGCCCGATGCGGAACTCGATCCCAGGACCCTGGGATCATGACCTGAGCCGAAGGCAGACGCTTAACCAACTGAGCCACCCAGGCGCCCCGCCTGTCCTTGGCATTCTTTTTTTTAAAAAAGATTTTATTTATTTGTCAGAGACAGAGAGAAAGAGAGCACAAGTAAGGGGAGCAGCAGAGGGAGAAGCAGGCTTCCTGCTGAGCAAGGAGCCCGATGCGGGACTCGATCCCAGGACCCTGGGATCATGACCTGAACTGAAGGCAGACGCTTAACCGACTGAGCCACGCAGGCGCCCCTGTCCTTGGCATTCTTAATTCCACTTTTTTTAAAGCTTTCCTCTAATCAATAACTACCACTGTTTGCATGCCACCAGAATATAAGCTCTATAATGCAGGGGCTTTTGTCTCATTTACCCCAACAAAAAGACAGTACCAGGCACACAGTACGCTCTTAATTTGTTTAAAGAATTTGTATGATGGGTTAGGTTTTACATACGGTGATTCTTAACCCATATAACCCTTCCAGGCAAACATTCCGATTACTCATCAGTAAACAGACACAAAGAGCTTAAATGTTGCTCCAGTTCACAGGAATACAGGACCTTCTCACTCCAAAACCATGGGCTTTCAGTAATTACCTACTATATGCCAAGTATCTTCTCTCTCAACTCCCTCACCACCCTCCCCATTCTGAGATTGCCTCCTCCCAAATAGGATCACCTAACACTCCCTTATTCCAGCCTTTTTTTTTTTTTTTAAGTTTGTGTGTGTGTTCAAGATTTCATTTATTTATTTGACAAAGAGTACAAGCAGGGAGAGTGGCAGGGAGAGGGAGAAGCAGCTCCCACTGAGCAGAGAGCCCAAAGTGGGGCTCTATCCCAGGACACTGGGATCATGACCTGAGCTGAAGGCAGACGCCTACCCGACTGAGCCACCCAGGCGTCCCGTTATTCCAGCCTCTTAACTGCAAACTATCAAAAGAAAACAGACCTTACCTGTGATCCTTGGCAAGGACGTGCCAAATGTAAGCCTATGACAGTTGTGAATATCAAGCAGTCTGATCCTTTAGACCTAATTCTTTATTGAATCTAAATTCCCTCAGATAGCTACTCTGTTAGTAAAATAAATTGTATTTCTTCATACAGAAACAACTACTCTGAAAAGGAAATTGAGTCTAACCATGCAATCTATGACCACTTACTACCTTTGACTCCCAAGTTATGCTAGAGCAAAAACTCTCTCAGCTCTTTTCCCCTTTCCAATCAGGTAAAGGGAATGAACTTTGGATAGTTGATGCCTTTTATCCTTCTCCCCCCAACTGAAGGCTTAGCAAAACTATGGAAAGGGTAATGTTCAGTAGAATAAAAGGACACACATTTTGTCAGGCCCAGAGAGATCACGTACATCAAGTTAGGATGCTTATATGTTACCAAAAGGATGAGGAAGGGGCGCCTGGGTGGCTCAGTTGGTTAAGCGTCTGCCTTCAGCTCAGATCCTGATCTCAAGGTCCTGGGATCGAGTTCCACATCAGGCTCTCTGCTCAGTGGGGAGTTTGCTTCTCCCTCTCTCTAATAAATGAATAAAATCTTCAAAAAAAAAAAAAAAAAAGGATAGTAAGTTTCCTGGATCTCTGGGCCTCCCTCAACTCATGAAACCACCTTCAGGGAGTATCCCTGTCCTATCACTGTGTCAGCCTTCACATGGAAAACCTACCTGGAACTTTTTGGGAGGCATCTATTTCTTCTTCGATTGCCCTACCTTCCCGCAAGGAGACATTGAAGGTTGGCTTCCTCCCCACTTCCACCAGACCAGTCAGATTTGCTAGAGGTCACAACTGCAACTTTTAGCAATAAGATACAACTGATTATAGAGAAGGGTTTTATATACCCATCCTTCTTTCCTTTCCGTTCCCCCCCTAGTCACCAGGGCCAAACAATGAATTACATCAGGTATCTAAGTTGTATGACAGTAATACAAACTTTCCTTTTTCTTTCTACAGCTTTGTAAGCCTTGTGCCAGAAACTTTAAAAGAACAAGTTCCAGCAAGATAAACCTGACTCTCTTTACCTTGCTACCTTTCACATTACAACATACACGGAGATGAAAACAGCACAGGGGAAGAGATGCTAAATACGCCAAGAATCTGGGAAATATAAGGTGGGACAAATAATGTATTCCTTGACCTCCCCTCCTCACTGCCATAACAAACCTGCCTTTCTTCCCACCTCTGTAACCACTTAAAAAAGAAAAAAAAAGAACAACTTTTACAAAAGTAGCTGGCGGACAGTTCTCACTCAAATATTGGATTAAGTATGTGGTACGTGTGTTTTTGTACTGAAGAAAAAGTTTTCCTCCCCCCTTCCTCCAACACAGTAAAATAAACAAGCAAGCCAAACAAAATGAGAACACCAATTGTTTTTGAAGAAACTTTTATTTAGCACTAGAAAGAAGAGAGAAGAAACAAGCAAAGATAGGTAGGGCAGGAAACGGAGAGCCCGAGCCAGTGACTGACTTGGCAAGAAAGTGAAGAAACGGAGAGACCCTGGCATTCAACAGCATCCCCACAGTGTGGCTAGAGGAAGAGGAAGCTCTGTGTGCCCAGGTGCACCACACAGCAGAACGCCCAGCTCCAACTGAGTACCCGTCAGCCTCTTTGGTCATATCTCTTTCCTTTTAAATAAATGCCCAGAGTGATATTTGCAGCCTTTTCTTTTCTCCTAAATTCACAAATCCTCTTGTCGTTCTCTTTGGACAGATGACCTCTTGTCATAGTTAAATGGGGGCAGGGTGAGGAGAGGAGGTGGACAACAACAGGGTAGTCCTGAGAGGAGGAACTACATGAACCAAGAGATTAAGACACAGACAATTTAACTGGAGCTAAACGGCAAGCCAGCAAAAGGAAACAGGACACCTTACCTGTGATCCTTGGCCAGGACCTGCCAAATGTGGGAGCGAAGGTTTGTGGGAAGAGAGAGAGAGAAAAGGCTGAAAAAGATGGGTTAGACCCTTATTAGTGATGGCGCAGACCCTCAAACTAAGGGCTCTGGGTTTTGTGCCTTATGGAGGTAAAAAAGACGAGGCATGGAGTCAAAACACCTGGATTCAAATCCTGGCTCTTCAATGTACCAGCTGTGTCCTTAGGCAAATGAAGTTTTGAGACGCAATTTCTGTCTACTTCTCTCTAAATGGGATCTTGCCTACTCTATCTACTGTTTCTATAGCATTGCTCTGAGGATCAAATCTGAGATTCTAGATTTTAAACCCACAACCATTTGAATTCTGACTCCAAAGTCTCCAAAGCTTTCTCCATTAAATTATGTTCACTTTAATCTTTCTCTGTTTTATGTAGGTTTTTTTTCTAAATTTTAAGCTCATACGGGTGGAGAGGTCTTTTACTATTTACTATTCAAAGAATCTTCTGAAATTTCCCAACATTACACAATCACTGGAAGTCTCACAAAGAAGCCACACCACATCCTACTACAGAAAATGTTCCATCTATTGTGCTATACTAATTATAGTCCACACATAAAAATCTGCAGAAGGATACATGACCGCTGTCCAAGCTTGTTAAGACATTCAAGAGCACTGGACTATTAGCTCTAAGTAGAATAAACAAAGCAACAGCAAGTCAGAACTCCCATTTCTAAAGAATTCATTTTATGTATTCTGCTTATCTCAAGACTTGGTCAAACAGAAATGTGAAATATTCATATTCTGGCTTTAAAAATTATTGGTATCACTGACTTCAAATAAGCCTACAAATTTCCATGCATGAATAGGTAGTTTTCTGAACACACATCTTAACCTCAATCCAAAGGAGTGATTCACAACCCATTTGAACCTCTGTGGGGCCATGGACTATTATAAGGAATCTGTATAAGCACCATCTTCTGCCTGAATAAATAATATATCTTACAAATATTTATATACTATATTTCAACTGGATGTAGATTATGGTGTTACTAATAAAGACAAACTGATTTAAAAGCATTACTGATGGGTGCCTGGCTGGCTCAGCTAGAAGAACATATGACTCTTGATCTCGGGGTCATGAGTTTGAGCCCTACATGGGGTGTAGAGATTACTTTAAAAAAAAAATTTTTTTAAAGCATCACTGAAATCACAGCAGCTTTTTGTTATGTATTTTTTCATAAAAAAATACTAAAAATACAACTATCATCTTGTTGTGAGGAGTCTAATAATTTTTGGACCTTAAAAACAGTACACCTTATTAGAAAAGGTAAAGAAACACAAGCCTACATCCCATGAATCACAGATACCCAGCTGAAAGAGGAAAGGCAACAAACATAGACTCCACTTCTGTGGACACCAACTAAGTGCATTCTGGCAAAACTTTATAAGGTTTATATGTATATAATCTTAGAGGTGAATGCCTGTAATTCCACTTATCTGGCAGGTATGAGAGATCAAAACCTCATGTCCTTTGGTTAAGACAAGGGCTCTACTTGGATCCTAGAAAATATCTCCAGTTGTACACACTGTATTCTACACATTCTACTTTAAACCCTGGGAGCAGCCCTGTGGTTCCTGGTCTAAGTGCTAAGACACTGACATTACTGTTCGCTACAATTTCCCCCCGCAGGGTGACCACTTGTGATATGTTCTCTCAACTTCCTGCCTCAGAACTTACATGAGACTCATTCTGGAAACTCTTAATAAGAGTCTGCTCTCCAAACTCCCAAATCCCTGTTGGTTTGTCCTAATGAACAGCACTCTTATCTTCCCACCTCCCTACCTCAGAAGCCAAATAGTAGCTCATGCTACTATTTATTCATCAGCCCTGTTCCTCCTCCTAAAATCTGTCTTCCTTCACAGATGTCACTGGCCTGCCTAGACCAGCTCTTAACAACCAACTCTAAAGAGCTCCCTCTTCCAAAAGCCCAAAAGGCTATTCTATTGTTGTTTAAAACATACACAAACTATGGTTCCCTCCAGATTAGTTTTTGTTAAGACTGATATCATTTGGGGCGCCTGGGTGGCTCAGTTGGTTGGGCGACTGCCTTCGGCTCAGGTCATGATCCTGGAGTCCCAGGATCGAGTCCCACATCGGGCTCCCTGCTCAGCGGGGAGTCTGCTTCTCCCTCTGGCCCTCTTCCCTCTCGTGCTCTCTATCTCTCATTCTCTCTCTCTCAAATAAATAAAATCTTTAAAAAAAAAAAAAAAAAAAAAAGACTGATATCATTTGTATTCCTTGAGGAAAGAGCACGTGGATACCAGAGTGAAAGAAACCGAAGCATGCAGAAGGTCAAGAGAAAAGTCAATTTGGTAACAGTAATTTCTAAAAAAATTTTTTTAAAAATTTAAAAAGCAATAGATATTTGCATTTGTGTTCAACTAATTATACTACAGAAACAGAGGATAATAGCTATCCTCAAAGCCATTTTTTCCCTCAATCCTTAGAAATGACTAGGCTTTTACCTCCAGTGAATCCCTTACCCACACACTATATAGCAGGGTGTCTGGTTGGCAGCCAACCCAACAATGCCCCTTAGCAGAGAACTATGGAAACACAAGGGCCTACAGTGAGAGAATCGGACTGAGGCTCCAGCCCTCTGCTGTACCTGCTAACTTTACCCCAATAGCCACCACATCCCTTTCTTCCTCTACTGTGAAATGTACATATATGAACACACACACACACACACACACACACACACACACACACACTCTCTCTCTCTCTCTCTCTCTCTCTCTCTCTCTCTCTCACACACACACACACACACACACACAATGTGGAACACAAAGACATAAACAAGGAATTTTTTCTCCTATTAGCTATTAAACCAAAGTGAGAGCTGTTGGGAAAAAAAATTCTTCCCCAGAAAACTTCCTTCAAATTTGAGAACTAATTATTGGACCAGAGAGAGTACTGCTCAAAGAAAACATCTAATAAGCACTTGCTCAACTGTTGCAAATGTTGACAACTAAAATTTATAATAAGGTAGCTATTTAATTTATAGTCATCTCCACATCTCCTACCTAGAGTAATTCCCTTTTCTTATAAATTAGAACACTGTAAGGAAAAGTCCAGGAGCTACTCCTACCTAGAGTAATTCCCTTTTCTTATAAATTAGAACACTGTAAGGAAAAGTCCAGGAGCTAC